CAGGCCGGGATGATGCGAGATGGTTTAGAAAGAGGAACCTGCAGTTGCTGGTAAATGTGCTCAGAAACAGCCGGCGAGAAGCGGCGGGGCTCTCCTTGCAGGTGTGCCCTGGGAGGTTGGCTGCAGGGAGTCCCCGTGTGGAAGTGTTTGGAGGAGTCCCCAAGGCAGGAAGGTGCCTGGCAGTGTCTCAGGTTTGCTGGCAGGCACGACTCTGTAGAGGCGCTCACCCCGGTCTTTCCCCAGCAAGTTGAAGACTGATGCACAACCTCCAGCGAGGGGCAGAGGCAGTGGTGGCCCAGGCTTAGAACATATGCCTTCCACTTGAGAGACTCGGGTTCGATTCCTGGCCAGTGCACCCCCTCTATGAGGGACTAAGATGAATTAAGAAGAAAGACCTGGAGATCCAGTCCCTAGAATCAGCCAGTGAAAAGTCACAACTGCTCACTCTGCCACCAATCGCTGGGCTGGGCAGTGTTTTGTTGCCGTGAGCCCAGGCAGACCCAGGTAGCTGTCTCTGTTTACCTGGGTGGACTCTGCTGGGGCGGCGGCGGCGGAGGGCATCTGGTAGCGGTGGGGGGACCCAAGGAGTCTGAGATGGTGGCACAGAGACTGGCAGGCCTTCAAACTGAAGGTGTCATAAGTAAGTGTGGAATCTTCAGGGATTTGCAGGTGTTCTATGCAAATTTTGCCAGATCTGGGCGGGGGCTGAGTTTGTGGAGTTCTCTGCTTGGGGGTGCACAGCCCTGGGCCCAGTGCCCTGAGACAGAAGCATGTGTGTGAGCCGGGCCCCAGAAGCCCCTTCCAGAAGGACCTGAGAATGAAGCCAGCTCCATAGCACTAGGTTTGTTCAGGCCCCTGGTCCAAATGGCCTGGCCGCCTCCTGCTCTGGCTGCCACTCCCATCGCTGGTGCTCTCTGGCTGCCAGGGAGAGGCAGGTGTGGTTACTCACCTGGGGTGCCCACCATGGCACCCCATGTCCTCAGAGCTTACACAAGCTATCATCAGAAACATGCTGCTGTTCACTGCCACCCAGTGTCCCCACTCACAGTGGAACAGCGCGCCCAGCCCTGCACCCTCCCCACGGTCCAGGCCAGCGGTGATCAGAGGCTGTTCCCTGGCTGCTGTTTGGAAGGTAGTTCGCCAGGCCTTTCTTCTTTGTCTCTTTTCATCGGTTGTGGGGGGGGCGGTGACATGAGACGGGGGCAGTGGGTTTTGCAGTGGACGCTCCAAGTGGCCTCTGTGACTTCAGTGGTGGAGGGCAGGGGCTTGCAGGGCTGCACGCATCCAGGAACCATCGAGACTCTTCAGTGGGGCTCATCCCTCTGCAAGCCTGGGGCTGCCAAGCCACAGAGACTGGTTAGTGCCCACGGTGAGAACAGGCATCACTAGCTTGCCCTGACCCGGCCCACAAGGGCTGCGAAAGATCCCGACCCCCCCCCTCTTTTTCTCCTCCTGGGAAGGGGACGCTTACCCTCCCTCTGTTAGGTCCCCAGTGGGGACCCCTGGGGCTGGGCAGGGCAGATGGTCAGCAGAGAGCTTTCTCTTTCTTGAGGGTTGCAAGCAGAAATTGGGCGCGAGGCCCTTTTCCCAAGTGTGTCTGTGGCTTGACTCCCTCCCTCTCTGACCCGCCCCCCGCCCCCCACCCCAGCTTGGCCTGTAAAGCAGGTGCCTCGGCGTCACTGCCCGTGGGGATGTGAGGCGATTAAAGGCTGCAGTGCTTGTAAAGCCACCATGGGGCACAGAGCAGCACCTCCTGATGGAAGAGCATGTCACGCCCCAGAGCGACTCCCCTGGGAGGGAGGGAGGGTGTCACTTGTGGGCAGCCACCCTCCCTGCCCCTCAGCTCTGCCCGCCTGGTGGAGAGGCCAGCTCCTGGTTCCCACGGCCTCAGCCTGGGTGTCAGGTGTGGCTGGTTCCCCTGGCTGGA